GTGACTGTGACTTGATTTGCATTTTCTTTGTCACTTCCACTACTGAGTACCTCCTCACATATTAACTGGCCATATAAAATCCCATCTCCTATGGAATGAGTGCTCCTATTGGGCTATTTTTCTGTTAATATATGGATATGTGTTTTTACTGTTGAAGATCATAAACACAGAACCCACTTCATCTTGCCCCTCAGAAAGAGTTCAGGTGGAATCTAAGCTGTGGTTGTTGTCTTGCCAACACCTATTGATGCAGATGCAAAATAACCAAGATCTTAACAAGGATCCATATTAGAAATTCTAAGAGTTTGTGGCTCAAGTCTGGGAAATTTTAGTATGACTGAATGAAAGAAGCCAGCAGGGAAGAAAACTGCTCTACGGTGTTTGTTTAAAATTGGCAAGGTATCATATGAAAATGTCCCAATGTAAAACCGTACCACACATACAGAATAATGAATATCTATGATGCAAATGTCTTACAAATATCAAGAATATGCTTTACTATGTATCCTTTCCCTTATAGGTTAATAATCTTAAAAAAGCAAGGACCTGGAACTGGAGTTTCAATCTTCCTTCTATTCTTTTGTAGCCTTGACAAAGAAGCCCCTTCAACTTTGAGACAAGTCTGCTGCAAACTGCCTGCAACCAGGCTCACTCCAGCCGACAGGACTGGGTAAAAGGTTGTTGTAACTTAGAAGCTTTCTGGGATGAAAATGAGCTATCTTGGATTCCAAACAGCTGAGTTCAGATCTCAGATTTGTCATTTTCCACGTGATTTTCAAATAAAAATTATTTCACATAGTTAGTTTTCTGGCCTATAGTTAGTCATTTTATATGCTTTCTGCCCCCACCCTAGCAACCTATGGACATGGGAATGTGCCTGCTCAGTTTTTGTCTCGTATGAGGATGTAGGGCTAAGTTCCTGACGCCTCTTTGATCTACAGCCTGATACCATCAGCTTCCTCACACACCTGGATGCATGAAGTCACCATTTGTCATAGGGCTGGCCTGAGGAAAAGGCAACTAGAGTCAAGGGGGGAGGGAGCAGGTAGCTGGTGGCCAGTGTAGATGAAAAGACCCCAAATTGTGTCCTTCAGTGGCTAAAGAGAATAAAAACAGATACAGGTCCCTGTGCTGTTGGCAGTAGCAGAACTCAGAAGCCAGCCTCACTTACTTTTTTACACCGACACAGCCATTTCCCTTGTTGTCCATGTCAACAGAGAGCATGGGGAGGCTCGCAGAGCTCCTTTATTCCGCAACTAATCAATAAGGGAGAAAAGCTTGGGTTTAATTCTTAGAAAGTGAGAGAACATACATTCTCAACTGGAAACACAATGGTCCCTTTACAGCTTCACACCATCCCCTCTGATTGGAGAGCTAGGATCAAATCTGCAAGACAGGGTGGTGGTACTTTCATTTGCAGTGTGCTCCCTACCTTGACAGTAAGAAAGTGCAAATAAGACTGAAGCCTCCTTCCAACACAGACTATGACCCGGCAGGGCTTCCCCTGGCCTCCTAGCTCCCTGAGGACACTGCAGCCCATACTCAAAAGTGGAGAAAAACAAGCCTCCTTTCTGAACCCCTCCCAATATGGGAGATGATTTTCTTCCCTTTTTCTTTAATTGACTTTTTTTTTGGTCCACTCCCCTACTTTTTGATTTCAATGAAATGCAGAAGGGACTTAATTAAAGCCTTTGTCAGAAAGTATTCTCCTACCTCAAATAGTCTCAGCAAAACTTCATCTGGGAGACAGACATGCTGAGGTAAAGCACAAAGCTCAAAACAAAACAAAACAAAAGCACCCAGATAGCTTATCACAAAAAGTGTGGTGATGATTATGGTGGTGTGTGTGTGAGTTGGTGGGGAGGGGTCAGATAGGCAGCTCATCAGATTTGTGTAAAATCAGTAAAACATTTGAGATACATTAACATCACTGTCTTTTTATCAGATAAGGAATGTATAAAAATTAAAAAAAAAAAACCTCCACAATTAGCAAGATGCGGGGGAGGGACTGCTTTAAAGAAAAGAAAATCAAAACAGAAAGCCTGCCCTGGAAATACGTTTCCTTACATTCAGCCGAAGCCATAATTTAAATGCATTTCCCCTCAAATCACTCCTTCTCCAGGGGGGCTGTGACATGGCAAGTGCATCGGTCAGTAAATTCCGAAGATGCTACCACTCTGCCAGAAGTGGGCGCTTAGCAAACAACACTGCAAGTGTGGGGTCATCTCCACTCCTGAAACACACACACACACCCCTTCCAGCTCCCAAGTCTCTAAGACTGTTGCTAAAGAACCCCACATTGAATATAATATAGATCATAGCATCCATCCACACAGTCACAGAGTAGACAGGGACAGAGTGCTGCTGCTCCAGCCACAAGAAGAATGGCACTTCAGTTGGAAACTGTTATAAATTCACCATTTTCTAAACATCTCAGAAACTAAACAAAACAACTCACAGCGGCACTCTGCGACAGCGCACTACATTGTCTTTTTATCACTACTATTATTTTCTTTCCTGAAAGAGTAAAAAGAAAAGCTACCTAGAAGCAACTAAAACATATCATTTTTTTATAGGCTTATCAAGAACAGCCAAAGAAACCCCAATGTTTTCTTTCACAAAGTAGTCTGGCAAAGGAATTCAAAAAGGAGGTACAGTTTGACACAGTGAAAATAAAACCAGGCTGGCTCTCAGCCAACATGACGTTAGGAATCACACACAAGCCGCAACTGCCTTCTGCTTCATGGCTGACTTTTTAAAGCTACAGCGTGCCTGTTCACTTTGGCTAACTACCCTCAGCACAGTTAGTGGAAGGGGACAATCACACTTGCAAATAGGCAGAATTCTCCTTGCACGTGGCTTACGTACTTACTGCAGTCTCTTGCTTCCCCCCCCCCCCATGTTGCTACATAGGTCCTCACTGCTCTTCTGCGTAGCCATGCCATGTTTCAAACTATTTCATTTTCTCCCCGTGGGAAAATAAGAGAAAACTCAGGGCTTACGGGCTATACACAGTGAGCTCTCAGAAGCCGCGGTCCTGCTTTAGCCTTTTTTTCCTAACAGAGGCGTGGACAAAGTTCCCAGAGCTGGCTTTTAAGTAATCTCTTTGTGAGTATAAGGAAAGCTCTGGCCAGCTAGCAAATCCCTTCACTCCCCGAGGTAGGAAGCAGCATCTTTCAGAGAGAATGTAAAATAGAAGATCAGAGCTCTGAAAACATTCACATTCCACCCAAGGAAGCCAACCAAAACCAGACAGAAACAAACAAAACCTTATTCTACCCAAGAAAAACACTGCAGGTTTAATGGTTTATCTCAGTTTCATGACACCCGCCCCTCCCCCCCAAATTCAGCCAACACTTCTAACCCATGAGCACTTGGTATTGCCCAAGTCACATAAAATTAAGACGTGCCACCATCTTAAGTTCCAATTCAGGAAACTGAGAGCAGAGAGACTGGGAGTGTGTTTTCCATTGTTACCTGGTCAATCTTACAGTTCCTAGCAAGGAATTGCTACTTGGGTTTCAGGGGTCTGTGTGTGTTTGGGGTGGGGTATTCCTGCCTCATAAACCTCATAAACATGTTGTATGCACCTGGAAAATATGTATCAATCAACATTTTGACACTTAATTCAGGATATCTGCCAGCCCCCAACACCTACTCCAATAATCCCCCCCCCCAAAAAAAAAAAAAACCCGATGACAAAACAAACAAAATCCATTCAAAATATGGCAAATTCAAGATCATAACAAGGACCCTGAGAGTTCTTGGTCCTCGGGAAGTATGATGTGTTTATTTTAGGCAGAACTGAGGAGAAGTGGCTTCCCTTTTCTTTCCTAATCCTTAAGGACATTCAGGGATCAAAGGTTGACAAGTATGATCTAAATTTGGATCCTGAATTCCTAAATCATCCACCCATCCACTCACCCACCTAATTTCAGGAATGGCACTAGAAATTTTCAGCTTCCTGAAAGACCACAGCTGAGAAATATTTGTTTCAAAGGTTCTCTTTTCTGGACTTTGCCACTGCCTTGTTGCAAACACAACTATAAATTTTTAGGGGAGACTTGTAAATGCTCAATACTGTGCTGTGCATGGGTCAGGATTTGTGTGCATTATCACGAATGACCAAAATGAGGGGCAGGGAGTGCTAACTCATCAACAGATCCATACTTTGGGACTTGGTGTGAAACTCCTGACCTATTTCCTAACAACAGCCATAGGGAATGGCTTTGGATTGTTGAGTGTGCTGGGCAGGGGAGCAGGGGGAGGGTACCATGACAGCACAGCTCAGAACAAACAGTTCTCAAAGAACCTCTGATCACACTCTCCAAGAAAAAGGGTCAAAGAGATGTAGGCACTCCTGAGTCTTCCTTGGCCACACTCAGCAGAGCAAGGCCTCTGTGAAGTTCCGCCAAGCGGCTTCCCCTTCAAGTAAAAAGGCCACCCTCTCCCTTCCTGCCTGCTGTGATCAAAAAGTGTGCCTGTTAAATAAACGTGTTTCTGGAAGTGTTATAGAAAATTGGGCCCGTTTCATCAGAGCCACAAAGGTGTCCTAAATGATGGCAACAGGCTTCACTTACCAGCTGGTTTCTAACTTTGGAAATAAACTGCCATTTGTGAATGTGTGTGTGGATTCAGCCACTCATCTTTGCACACTCCACAAGCACATTAGTCGTTTGCTCTTACACGAAGGGCGTGTATGTTAGCACTGTATTTGTGTGAGATGAAGCACATGCTGTGTGCTGTACGCAGGAGCGTGCTCTGTGATTACAGAATGTGTGTGTGTGTGTGTGTGTGTGTGTGTGTGTGTGTGTGTGCCGGGGGGGGGGGCGTGGCCCAAACAAGACTTTCTAAGGCAGTCTATCTGGCCTCAGGATTCTGGAACAGAGAGCTTTGGGGGGACAACTTGAAAGCGCCCTCGGATGGGGGAGGGGAGGCCAGTCAAGAAGGGCTGGAGACCAGGTTCTCTGAGAGTGGTTTCTATATTGCCTCGCACCCACCTCCAGGAAGCACCGACGGCCCAGGAAAGCCAGGCTGTTCTGTAGGAACCTTCTGCCTGGTCCGGGGCTGGACCCAAGTCCCCGAAGGCAGGGCTGCACGCGTCCCGGAGGGCGTCTCCAGGACGGAGGACAAGCGGTCGGCTAAGCAACTCGAGGTGGCGCAGGGGACAGAGCGGAAAGTTTCTGTGGAGACTCTGAGGGAGAACCGGGCGGTCTGCCTAGGGTGGGAGCTGCTAGGGGTGTGGCGCCGAGCCTAGCACCGCGTCCTGTCCCGTCCCGTCCCGCCAGCTCTGCCCCGCTCCACTCCAGGTGACAAAGTGCACACCCTCGGGGCGCCGAACACACGGGGGCCGCGGGTCGGGCGTTTGGGGTTTTGTTTGTTTGTTTCTGTTTTTGTCCTTATCCTGGTGTTCACTGGTTCCTTTCATCCTGGAGAGGAGGGAGGGCGGGCGCGTTCCCAGGACGGCCTGTGAGCCCATCACTTACCTCCCGCCCAGCCGCTCGGTGGCCGCCACGCGCGGAGCCCAGAGCAGCGCCAGGCGCGCGGCACGCCGGGAGTTGTAGTCCACCTTGTCGTTGGGGGGGGGGTCTCGGGAGATGGGGACGGAGGGAGCGTGGAGACGCAGAGACTCTTAAGTGGGAAAGGACAGAGTCCGCTGGGATTCCGAGGAGGACATTTGTCCAGGGCTCAAAACTTCCAGGAAGCAGAGGGGAGGGGCTCCTCCCGGGGAAATTAGTATAGTGGAGACTTTCGGGTTAACAAAACCATTTTCTGTGGATAACCCTGCTGCAACTGTAAGCCAGAGTTTAGCAACAATGATTACAAGAGATTTCCCAGGCCAAGTTCCTATTGTGTAGGGAGCCACTTCCTCTTCACTGTGAACATGCCTGTGGCATACTTTGCTTAGGAGGTGCTGTTTTCTTGCTGAGGAAACAGCATCCCTCCTTGGGAGGGTAATTGGACTCCCCATTTACTGACCACTCTGTAGCCCTCTTTACAAAGCACCTCTTACTTATTTGCTCCATTTTGTTAGACCCATAAAGCAACACTAGGGTTATGGCAAAGAAAATCTAAAGATGTAGTTTTGTGTGTCCGCACCTGAGGTTTGAGTCATCTGTATTTTGTCACTTTTTCCTCCACCTTTCTCTTGGTTGTTAGGAGAAGGGAGCCTGGGAACAGCTGTAATACCTAGGGCTAAAAAAGAGGAACTTTTGTAGAGCACTTTCTTGAAATAGCTGGTGAGGTGTGGGGAGCTTCAGGTGAAACATGCTTGCCCATTAAGTGTAAAAAAATCTCAGAAAGTGTTCTAGAAATTAGGCCCATTTTATGAAAAATGAGCCATGAGGGTGACAACAGATTTCACTTACTAGCATTTTAAATGATGATGATAACAACAACAACAATAATAATAATAGCCAGGTATAGTGACACCTGCTTCAACCCTATCTCTGGGAGGGCAGAAGACCCCAAAACTTGCTGACCAGCTAGTCTGGGATCCTTGGCTAGTTCCAGACCAAAGAGAGACTCCGTTACAAACAGCCAGACAGACAGAGAAAAATGGGTACTGCAAAAGACCAACACTTGAGTTTGCCTCTGGCCTCTACACACACTCATACAGACATGCAAAGACAAAGACACTTGCACAAAGGAGCACACACCACTCACAGCTACCCCATCCGAAATAGTTGGTAAATAAATTAGTAAATGGGTTCTCCAGCTCTAAGTCAGATGCAGTGCCAGTGGTCACAAGCCCCCATCCCCAACTCAGAAATTATCTTGAATTGATAACAAAGGATACACAAACCACACTTAAGGACAGGCCCGTGTCTGGCAGTAGATTATTAACACAAAATGAAGTCAATGGTATTTTTGGATTTTTTGTTTGTTTGTTTGTTTGATAATGCTTTGTGTGGGCACATATCATATGTCATATATATATATATATATATATATATATATATATATATATGATCTTACAGGGGTTTTTATTTTGCTAATAATATGTTGTGATTTCCGTCTTGTGTTCTTATGGGATTTCTGTGTGTGTGAATGTGTGTGTCTGTGCATTTATATGTGTTTCTTGTGCTTTTTATTGAGCTGTTTTTTGTTGGTGGTGGTTTGTTTGCTTGTTTTGTCTTATTCTGGTTTGTTTTTATTTCATTAGGTTTTATTTTATTATTATTTTTAGATGCCTGCTTGTTTTCTAATGAGAGAAAAAAAGAAAGGGTATGGATTTACATGTGTGGGGGAGATGGGGAAGATCTGGCAGGAGGTGGAGGAAGGGAACCAGAATATATTTTAAGAAGAAAATGTATTTCCAATAAAAGAAAATAAGCAGGCACATGAGTGATAGATACATAGGTGGTCACCCAGAGCATTAGGAGAGCGAAGCGGGAAGAAAAAGACAGTGGGAAAGAAGTTCAACAGAAGAGCATACTAGGAAATATGATAAAGGAGGGTCGAAAGGGGGCAAATGAAAGGCAGGAACGCGGAAGCCACAGAGACCTAGAATCCCAGTGTTGAGACTCCTGCATTAGGTCTGTGAATGAAAAAGTGATTTAACCCCTCCAAATCTCTTTGACCTCAGCATTAAAATGTAAGAAATAGCAGTTGTGTAACAATGGCTGTGAGTGGCAGCTCAGATTAAAATAGGCAGGAGACACTTAGAATAGTACGCGGCTATTATAGGCACAGAGCTAATGTTAGCTACTATTATTATCAACAGAAATTCCTTTTGTGGAAGTATCAAGAAATTAATTGGAATGGAAGCTGTGTTGGGAGGCTGCAACTATGTTCTAAGCTATAGGCAGTGTTTCAAACTAAAGTGATAGACAGGAAGCAGCTCCGAGAGTCTTCAGAGAGAATAGGCAGAGCAGGGCAGTCATTTGCATGTGGGGGAAGAAGAGGAGGAATCATGCAGTTATCATTTTCTGGATTAAGAATACGGTTGGTGTTGCTGTTTCAGATACAGACATAACCATCAGAATACAAAGTTTGGGGGGCAAATGGCCAGTTTGGCTCCAAGCCAAACAGGATGCTCTCTGAGTGTTAATGACTACATAACAATTGGAAATGCTACTCTGAATAGTATGCAGTCCCTTAACTGAAAAATGGATACAGAAATTGTGGTACATTTACACAATGGAATACTACTCAGCAATTAAAAACAATCATGAAATTTGTAGGCAAATGGGTGGAACTAGAAAAGATCATCCTGAGTGAGGTAACCCAGAAGCAGAAAGAGACAAATGGTTTATACTCACGTATCAGTGGATCTTTAGCCATATAATATAGGAAAACCATACTACAATCCATAGACCTAAAGAAGCTAAACAACAATGAGGACCTTAGGGAAGATGCTTAATCATTATTCAGAAGGGCAAACAGGATAGACACTGGAAGTAGGAGAATAAGACAGGGAACAGAACAGATGCCTTCTGCAAGGGGCCTCTGAAAAACTCTACCAAGCAGGGTATCAAAGCAGATGCTGAGATTCATAGCCAAAATTTGGGCTGAGTGCAGGAAACCTTATGGAAGAAGGGGGAAATAGAAAAACCTGGAGGGGACAGGAACTCCACAAGGAGACTAACAAATCTGGGCCCATAGGATCCTGCAGAGACTGATGCACCAATGAAGGACCATGCATAGAGAGGACCCAGAACCCCTGCTCAGAGGTAGCTTAGTCTCCATCTGGGTTTGTCTCTGACATGGACTCTGTTGCCCGCTTTTTGATCACTTCCCTCTTGTGGGGTGGCCTTCCCATGCCACAGAGGAAGAGGAAACAGGCAGTCCTAATAAGACTTGATAGGATGGGGTCAGATGGTAGGGGAGGAGGGTTCCCCTTTCTGTGGCCTAGAGGAGAGAGAAAGGGGGAAGAGGGAGGGAAGGTGGGACCAGGAGGAGATAAGAGGAAGGGATATAATATAAAGTGAATAAATTATAAAAAATAAATTTAAATTAAAAAAAAAAAGAGACATTCATTAAGGAGAGGAACTTGGAAAGTCTGTACAGAGACAAAGGGAAGAGCAGCAGGGGTGAGCAGGAGGAGGTGAGATGTCCTTTGATGGTGGCAGGCAGGGACTGGTCAAGTGGCAGGAGAGGGGGCAAGGGTGAAGTCTAGCAGGACAGTCTCACAGAGGGGGCCCAGTGACACAGAAGAAACCACTGCTTGTACATCTGGCCTAGGGGTTGTTTTGGAAATTTATGTCAGTGAATTTGCTCTTGCTAGCTAGACTGAATTTTAGGAGCCAAAAATGTTGGGCATCTTCCATTGTCTGGACAACTGAATTGTCTTACACACTTTGTGTCTCCACTGTGGGATTTGTAGGCACTATAAGGTCTCTGCTTTCAATATGAAGAAGGCAGCTGTTGGAGCACTTTGAGCAGATGAGTAATAAGGCTGGCTATTTATTTTTTAGTTTTTAATTTTATTTTTATATTAATTACAATTTTTCCACTTTGTATCCCAGCTGTAGCACCCTCCCTCATTTCCTCCCAATCTCACCCTCCCTCCCTCATCTCCTCCCATGCCCCTCTCCAAGTCCACTGATAGAGGAGGTCTTCCTCCCCTTCCATCTGACCCTAGTCTGTCAGATCTCATCAGGACTGGCTGCATTTTCTTCCTCTGTGGCCTGGTAAGGCTGCTCCCCCTTCAGAGGGAGGTGATCAAAGAGCCAGCCACTGAGTTCATGTCAGTGACAGTCCCTCTTCCCATTATTAGGGAACCCACTTGGACACTGAGCTGCATGGGATACATCTGTGCAGGGGTTCTAGGTTATCTCCATGTATGGTCCTTGGTTGGAGTATCAGTTTCAGAAAAGACCCCTGTGTCCAGACTTTTTGTTTCTGTTTCTCTCCTTGTGGAGCTTCTGTCCCCTCCAGGTCTTTCTATCTCCCCCTTCTTTCATATGATTCCCTGCTCTCTGCCCAAAGTTTGGCTATGAGTCTCAACATCTGCTTTGATACACTGCTGAGTAGTCTTTCAGAGGCCCTCTGTGGTAGGCTCCTGTCCTGTTCCCTATTTTCTCCCTCTTCCGATGTCCATCCTATT